AAAAAAAAAAAAAAAAAAAAAAAAAAAAAGGCATTTAACTTCCTCACATCCATTATTTAAATAGTTGTTTAGCAGCAAAATTTGTATTTTTTTTTTTTGTTCTCCACTAAAATATTGCTGATGCTAATCTTCCGCCATTTTTAGAATTCAAAAAAAAACAAAAAAAAAGGGTAATTTAAAAGGCAAAACAAATCAAAATATTTTAAAAGTTTACAGTTGAAATAAGCGAAAGCTTTTACAGCTAAATATAACAAAAAGAAGTAGTTAGGAAGATTTTAATCTAAAATGTTTTTAAGAAGAACAGTGATAGGCAAAAATTGATGATAAAACTAAAAATAATTCACAAAAACAGAAGTTTTCTATTGTCAATCAGTAGCCGATGTAATCAACTGCTGAGTAGACAGATTAACGACAATTAGTTAAAAAATTATCAAGTTTTAAGCGCTTCAGTCATTGTTCTAAACAATGTTTTTTACGATGAAGATAAATTGTAGTTCTTTTTTTTACCATTTCTGATTCAAAAACTTGCCTTGCTTACTGGAGGATATGGCGAAAAACAAAAGTTATGACTAATCATTTTATTGTCGTTCAAGTTAAAAGATACAGCATCGTATATAAATGAATTTTTCAAAAGCGAACTTGTAAAGGTGTGAAGTAACACAAAGAGAAGACTTCTTATTGTCTAAGCTTCTTATTTTACACTTCTAATTTTATACTGCTCGAAGCAGAATAAAATTAGAGATGTAAAGCAGAAAAATAACTGTTTGTCGTATCAAAGTTTACTATAAGAGCAGAACAATAAACATTTTTTGATGAGAATAAGGATGCTTTTCTTATTTTCGGCTCTTACAGACATACATAAGCACATCATTTCAGAAGCGCTGTAGTCGTTTAGTTTTAGTGATATTGAAAAGAATTAACCGGAAACACTAAGTAAGCACAAGCTTTAGCTGATTTTGTGCTTATGTTGAAAAAAAATTATTTAGTTTTCAAATTTAATCTTACCAGTGACACATATGTTACAGTAACATGAATAAGTTATGACCAAATTCAAATAAAAGACGAAAAAAACTAAAAGTGTGATGAAGAAAGGTGGCGATAAAAGAAACGAAGTAAATTATCTGAGACGATTTAGAACGGTTGCGATGTGTGTCGAGTTAGAACTGCATAAGATGCTTGCCGTTCAGAACGCCTACGTTATCGTTTTGAGCTTTACATAATGTGCCCGCTAGGCTTGTGCTGTGTATCTACCGCTATTTTACACAAGCATCAGCTTCATTTCCTATATATCCACACAGACACTCCAAAACACACATCTTTCTACTACTGCCGGTGAAATTTTATAGTTTCTTACAGACGTTTGTTGGCTGCTGCTATTGCTGACGTTAAGTGTGATGGCAAAATAAAAACTTCTTCTTGGATGCAGTATTGCATACCTACCGGTTGTTTGTCTTCTTCGCTATAATTTGCATTCTTAAAACAGAAATTTTTGATTGAAAAATTGTAGTGTTTAACAGGTTTTATCTACTGGCAATTTAGCTTAACTTATCCAGTGCTTTTTCAAGTAATTGAGTTGTTTCTGAACGTTATTTAACAGTCCTATACAGTAATTATTTATAGCAGATTAAAATTGTATTTTTTCTTGATCGAGTAGAGCAAAAATCCTTATTTTTCCTTTTTTTTTGTCGTTATAGTCAGTGTCGGTGCTGTCGTTGAAGCCGTTGCTGCTGTAATCGTTGTTGCTGCTACCGCTGCTATCGCTGCTGCAGCTACTGCTGTTGTATTGACTCTTTAGTGCTGATATTTGCAGATACACTCACCTCTGACTTTTGGTGTTAACAGATGAATAATAAAAAAGAAAGAACATTT